CTTCAATGAACCTTTGGGTTTGGACCTAAGTTTAAACATGCAGTGTATAGCCTCTTGCAAAACGCTACATCGCGAATTTGTGTGAATGGGGTCCTGTCTGCTCCAATTCGGTTAAGCCGATCAGTCCGGCAGGGGTGTCCAGTGGCACCTTACGTGTATTTGCTTTATGTTGAAGTCATGCATATTTTAATCAGATCTAATCCGGAGATTCCTGGATTTGTCCTGCCCTCCAGGGAAAGGCTAAAAACAAAAGCTTTTGCTGATGACTCCATCGCATTCACACCATTGGCAGACCATGTTTTTTTTGCCTTAAGGGAGACTATTTGTCAGTTGTCGCAGGCCCAAGTCAACTGGTCTAAACCGTCTGTGTTGATACCTCCGGGAGAACAACCCCCAATTAATTGGGGAGTTAGAATAGTCACCCCGGCTCAACAAGAAAGATTGTTGGGCCATCAGTTGTCATTTGACTCGCAAATAACTCAAGATCCAGCCACTTCATTGCCTGCTTTGCGCTCAGCACTGCAACCCTGGGTCAAATATAAAGGAGTAAGTCTTTTTGGTAGAGCAATTGTGATCAACAATGATGTGCTCTCAACCCTGTGGTAACGAAGGTCCATACATCAGCTTGATCGGCCAACCTTGCAGACGGTGCGACAAATGCTGACTCACTATCTGTGGAAAGAAGAAATCAATGAAGATCACTTCTTGCCAAAGGTGGCATGGCAAATAATAACTCAACCAAAACGCAACGGCGGGTTGGCCATTTTGGACCCCGAGCGACAAATCGACGCTTTACGTGCGAGATGGGTGCCGTGGGCCATCCTTGAATGCCCGAACACAGCACGGCGGCAACTAGCTGAATTCACGTTATTTTCTCTTTGGGAATGGACTGACCTCCGTTGCATATGGCTAATAGTGCTTCTCACGGACTATCAACACAAAAGATTGCCTGCAAGCGTGTGGGCTGGCATCTTGAAGGCATGGAGGAAAGCTTGTCCCCAACTGCAACTTCCTCCGCTGGTGTATGAAAGATTGCTCACCCAACCGCTTTTTGATAACCCGCTTTTACTCAATCGGAAGAATATCCTTTCCGCTGTTTTGGATCTGGACAATTTGGAAATGCCTGGTTGTCTCGGGGGATTGGAACTCTGGCAGATATTTGGGACTGTACCACTGCCGACTAGAAAACAGCAGAGAGTCTTGCTCCGAGACTACAAGGGTTGTGGCATCAGGTGGGTCACTTGCAGCAGTTGAGGGACGCAGTCCCTCACCGATGGATCGAGATTCTGAGGGTGGGACTGGTGCTAGTGAAAGGGATGTGGTACAGGCAAGCACAACAAGAAAACGCAAATTGCGTTTGGAGGATAGAAGACTATTCTGAACATGTGGAGAACTATCAAAAATCCGCGCGCGGGCGATAGGGGGATCGCATTAACGCGGCCGCCATTTTGGTCGCGTCTTGCCGGAACTGGTTGGTGGGGCGGCGTGAACGATGGGGGAGGAGGTGCAAAGGGCGCCATAGATGGGATTGTTCAACTGGGGCACTACCATGCTCCTGCCGTTTCTTGGTCTTGGTCGACGCTGTGTCGGCAATCCTTTTTGGTCGTGAAAGGAGCGAAGCACAAGTGGGGACGGTCAACGGGCGAGATCCGCGCGCGGGTACATGTCAGAATTTCCAACACGTCAGGGGCTTCGCCCTTGGCTTCAGATACGCAACACTGATGATGACTTTAATCCACGGACGGTGAGTTAGGGACATCTCGATGGTGAATCTGCAATGGTGAATGTGAACAGCTCTCTCTTTGGATAGATAAGTGAGGAGTCGTCTCTTGATGATCCTTCTTTTCTGTGTATGGACGAAATCGCAAGAGTTTAACCCTAGGTTTTGTATGAATTGAGGTGGTGAAGGATGATCGATGTAGCCTCTTCGTTAATAAGCTTCAAGTGTTAACCTGTGCTAGCTAATCGGTGAAGTTTTATTTAGTGTAAAATTGGATGGTTTCGATAGGTCTAGACTATAGAAACCTAGGCTTGTGGACTTCCCCTTTTTTTTTTTTTTTTTTTTTTATGTGCTAACATGCAATAGACAACTACATGGTTCTTCTTACGGTGGATGGTGGGTATTGACCTCCCTTTGCATCCATGGAATTTGAATTGTTTTTTTTGGGAGTGATACTCTGAAACGATTGAGCGTCAAAATCAATACCTGTTTGGGTGGGTTGTTATCAACCACGGGGAGAATTTCTATCTGAATTTCAGTCGACTTAAATTACTGGTGTTTGAGTGACTGTAAATTAGATGGGTTTCTTCCTCAAGTGGATTTTCATTTCGGTTAGAAGCATTGGGTAGACATAATGGAAAGAGGCTGCGCTTACTGGAGGTGGAGTTGAATGCTCTTAGATAAGGTTCTGGATTTTGCCGCTGCTTTTGCTCAATATAAACAGAGAGATTGCCTGAGTATATACACTGGGTTGATTTCTTTCCGGTTTTGGGCAGGAAACTTTTTCAATTTGAAGCTTTCTCGTCAATATTGTGGCAATAGTAGAGGCCTCGCCGTGGACAATGGATCAGCGACATGAGCAGCCGTGCGACGTGGTTCGCAACTGCTTTGTCTGCGCTAACTTGAGGTGAAGTTGAATGCTCTTAGATAAGGTCCCGGATTTTGCCGCTGCTTTTGCTCAATATAAACAGAGAGATTGCCTAAGTATACACCGGGTTGATTTCTTTCCGGTTTTGGGCAGGAAACTTTTTCAATTTGAAGCTTTCTCATCAATATTGTTGCAATAGTAGAGGCCTTGCCATTAACGGTAGTGATTTGGGGTAGACTAGTCGCGGAAAGATACACCGCTACATTTTTGTCTTTTGTGCATGTGGAGAGTGGCGGAGCGCCATATTTTTTGTCTCCGCCACATTTTTGTCTTTTGTGCATGTGGAGAGTGGCGGAGCGCCATATTTTTTGTCTCTTGTGCATCCCCCCCCCCCCCCCCCCCCC